GATTGTCCAAACGACCACCTGCGTAGGACATTCCTGCATCCAGATGTGCAGGCGAGAGGATGCAGCAGAGTGGAAATATCCATCTACGGCAGGGATTTCTCCAAAGAAAACACAAATGCTATTGCGGAGACGCTAGAACCTTTGCAGGACATATTTGTAGTACAACCACCCAAAAACATGTGGTTGGCGCTCGCGGAACACTTGGATAGATGTTTGTGTATTTGCTGCGAGGAAACAAAAGAAATCTTTCTAGCTTGGTACTGCCATGCGGAGACAGGTAGGATAGCCGGCATACGAGTGCGAGGCAACGAAAGATGGGAACGATGCGTACTTTGGACCATTGCAGAGTTCGGTCTACGCAAATGCCCCATATTCCGCATAGATGTACGTGGATTGGACCCTGTGGAGATAGCGCCACTGCGATGCTACACCAAAGATTCCCCTACCATACTGGCGGAGTCTAACAAGCCCACCCGCGTACACAAAGATCCTCCTACTATCGCAGACTTTCTCCCAACTACGGAGCACGTGGAGTGGGTTTGGCGCACCAAGAAGGCACAAAAGATAGGGGTGGAAAAGAGTCTCTTCGGAATACTAGAAGTGCCTACGGACCGCAGGATATCCTTTCTGTCCAAGAGAAAACGACAGCAGCGATTGGAAGACATACGGGACGATTTGGAAGGAGACGAGTGGGTAGAAGCCACAAGAAGATACCACGCAGAACTGTCGGAACAAAGGCAGTCCATCCTGCGGCAAAAGGAAGAAGACAGGAAGAAAATAGAGAAAGAGTTGGAAAAGTACAAAAAGACATTGGATAGGATTTCCAGAAGGACAGACAACCTGCGTAGATTGTTCTTTGGGAAGGAAAATCCATTTGGCACTGGGATACCAAGCGCCAGAATACATCGAATGCAAGAAATACCCGCAGGGGACTACAAAATACTAGGGTATGCGGTGCCGAAGAACGTAGATGCCGCTTGGCTTGCCAAAGGGCACCGAGTAGCTTTGCGAAAAGGCAAAGAAACTTCCGTAGCATGGGCTGTGGATGCGTTGCTGGATGCATTTGCGGTCGGGAAGTTCGAATCAAACGGCAACATACACACTGCCATACCTGGAGAAGAAATATTGGTGGAGTGGAAAAACAATGTAGCAACTGTCTTCGTGCCGGAAGGACCCGGCTTGGATACGTACTACGAGTTGGCTAGGAAAATAGACCCTCCCAAAAATCCAGAAAGACTACTGGAAGTGTCGGCGCCACCAAACAAAGAATGCGTGCAGGCGCTACATATGCAAGAAGGAGAGTACCAATGCTGGAGATACGCCAAAACCACGTACAGAAAAAAAGAAAGGACAATCCTATTCCTTTCCGAAAAATGCTCGGAATGCGTTTTGGAGGGCTGTACGGTGGAGCACGCCACTACTCCGGTCTGGGGACACTTTCTGGAGGAGCAGAAAATAGACTGGACGTCTCCACCACCGCTATACTGCAAAATAGGTAGGGAAAAGACTACCAAGGCAAAGAAGAAAGACAGACTGGTGCATGTCTCTACTCCATCTCCGGAATCCTAGAATTTCTCTGCGGCTCCGCTGGATGTCTGTAGTAGACAACTTTGGGTGGTTGCATGCGTGCCCAAACGACAGCAGCCACGCCCACTAGCGCAAATAGCACATTGCCGGCTATTTGCCAGTCTATCTTTTTGTCCACTTCTTCTACTTCGTCGGACAAGTCCTCTACCGCATTTTCCAACTCGGGATCTATTTCCATTTTGGCTAGCAATTCCTCCTTTGCGTTCTGTAGTTCTTCTCTAGCTTTTTGGAGATCGTCCAGGACTATAGCAAAGGAATCCTGCACTTCTAGGAAATGTTTCTGCAGGTCGGTAGTAGGTGGTGTTTCGGGAATCGCTACCTCCACGCCGTTCTCTCGCTCTATCCTGCGTATCTTTGGTATTCCTATACCGTATTTTTCGGCTACCTTTTGCAGCCCCATACCGTTCTTTCGATCTTCCAACAATCCTGCGATTTCTTCCTCGGATAGTATCTTGGGTGTTGCCATATATATCTACGAATACGGGTTTGGGCATGGGTATTCCATGGACAAACACTATGGATCCATAGGTATATAGATGTATCTCTACATAGCTACGGGTATAGTCGCATACATACTGGGAAAACAAAGAACGACACAAATACTTTTGGAGATCTTGGAAGGTCTCTATAGAGCGCAAAAGACTTTGCAGGGACTTCGCATACCGGGCTACRTAGCAACTTTGGCGCAGCTACCGCGACGTAGGTAGTAGAAGGGGAAAGAAGGTTTTTGGCTACGATCGTTCCTGCATAGTAGAAGGGGAACGGTTTCGCAGCCCTTGCTATCCTGCGGACATTCCTGGGGGCCCTTTCTGGTTCAGGGGAGCACAAAAAAATGTGGTTCTGCAAAAAATGTGTCTACGAGGAATACCCGTGCGGGATGGAAAAAGGTAGCCGAAAATGGTTGCCGAAAAAAGGGAAAAAAATACACTCTTATAAATACTGCGGTACTATTTTCGGACACTTTACTCGGGTAACCCCCACAAGCCCCTCTAATTAAGTTACTAATGTAGGCCACTTGATGCGGGAATTCCCTCATCAGGACTATTTGGCGCGGGCGTTCTTCGGGGTGGGGGGTGAACCAAAACATACATCCCCTATACTACTAATCCGGAATCCGCTATACAAAAGTTTTGGAATCCGGAATCCAGACCCTTGGAATCCGTAATCCAGAGTCTCGGAATCCGGAATCCAGCGCTTGAAATCCGGAATCCACCATAAGTCCGGATTCCCTTACATGGAGCGAAATGGAGCACGCTGCGGTGACGTCAATTTGGTGAAAATTCGGTGAAAATTGCAAGCATTCAGATAAAACTAAAAGAGTACTAACTGGTCTACCTTTTTGTACATTTAAAGGTAAAAGATAACTATTGATTTCCTTTCCATAAGAAAGTTTATAGCGTATTTGTTTGAGCTCAAGTTCGGCTTACTAAAAAACTTGCCCTTCCACCGGCCACGTTACTACAGCGAAATCAAGAAGTCTTGCAGTTGAGAGGTCGATTAGCCCGGGGGGGGGGGGGGGGGGGTACCCCCCCCCCTTGGGTGGGGGTGTGCCGCCAGGACCTCAAAACCCTGTCCCTATCCCAGACCTAAAATTTTGATTTTACATACCCTACCCCAGACTAAAGCTAAGAATTGTACACCCTATCCCAGACTAAAAGACGGAAAANATCCCAGACTAAAAGACGGAAAATACGGTTTTACAATCGATTGCAATCAATATTTACTAACATTTTAATTGTTTTTGTGTCGGCAGAAAGCGTAGCCTATTCGCCAGACAAAAACGACCAAATCGTTAACCCTATCCCAGACTAAAATGATACCCTATCCCAGACAAAATGTCAAAAAATGATACCCTACCCCAGACCCAAAACCCGAAAAATCATACCCGTATTGCAAATATACGGGCGGCATATACCCGTATAGCAAATATAGGGGAGTACCCCCCGCGGGTCGATTAGCTCAGTTTTTCTTGCTCAATCCGCCGTACAGGTCACCACAGTAGTCCAGCAAAACACCACGATGGCTACTGGAGTCCAAGTAAAGCCACTGATGCATTCTTTCGCCGACTCAGTTTTCGAAAAAAATATGGTTCAAAATGTTCAGATTGAATTTGTGATGCAGCCAAGCGCCAACGAAAATCGCTAAATCGACTTTTCCTCAGTCAAATTAACTTTAAAACGTTCTTGTGAATGAAAAATTTTAAGAATAAAAAGTTGAAAAATTGAGCTGTTTTTGCTCCGAAGAGGACAGGGCAGAAAATCGGGTTCTACTTTCGACGTTTATGCGTTAATAAGCTTTATACTTCATAAACAGGCTCTTTTGGGGCTGATTAACAAATTTCCAAAATTTGGGGAAATTTAAGGAATGCGAATTTAAAATATAACGCCCTGAACGTTGGGAGAGATGATATTTTGATCAGAATAAAAACATGTTAGCATGCGCAGAATTTTGTGAAAGGTTTCAAGCACAAGAGGAACCGAATGAAACACTAAACGTTTTTCAGCATGAATGAGAGATAAAGAAAAAAAATTGCGAAAGTATCAGCCTTGTCGTTTTTCTGCTCAGTGATCTCCGAACACGAGACTAAAGTACCGTGCTCGCATCTTAGAAGAATCTGTGATTTGATCAGAGCGAAATAAACAGTTTTTATCGTGTAAAGTTGTTCTTTATGTTATAAAAGCAATGTTCAATGCTTAGCGTGCGTAAATCTATTGATGGTACACTTAGATAGTTGGGAGAGCACTGTGGTAGCTAGAGTTCTCTTACGCTACCATCGTGTTCTCCCAACTATCCAAGTGCACCATCAAAAGATTTACGCACGCTAAGCATTGACCATTGCTTAAATATTATAACGTGGATTTCTTCAAAACATAAACAACCTTCGGTCTGCAGACCATGATATATGCAAATTAAAAGAAGGAATTACTATGTCTACAGTGAAATTTCAAAATATCGCCAAAATAAGACCGAGACCACTGAAATCTTTAGTGACGGACCAAAGAACATCCAAAAGTAAGCTTTAATTCAATATTATATATTTTGGGTAAAATAATTGTTCATAATGGGCAAAGAAGTAGGCAATAAACGACTCAACGGCGTCTTGTGTCACAACAGGAAATACCTCTAAAAGGCATAAATTAGAACTTAGCTAATTTCTTAGAAACGCAATGTGCTGCAAATTTTATTGCGTATATCGGATGAATACCTTCTTATTGCAAGACCAAATGGTGTTTTTTTAAATGGCTGAGGTAGGTGCCACGAGTGATAATTTGGCAATATTCTAAGTCTTATCATTTTAGCATTCCATGTCACGCGTTCAGTAGTCTCGATATAAGTTAGGATTTTTTTTTTCATAATTCGCACATTCTAAAAATATATATTGCTGTTTCTAGTTACATGAGGCACTAAACTGCAGCTATGAAAAAATCAAGCTTTTATTTGCAGGACAAAAAAACGAGAAAACTAACTTTGAAAGTAGGCTTCGGCGACTGAAAAAATCAAGCTTTTATTTCCAGAAAAAAACCCGTGACTGACTTTGAAAATAGGCTTTTCGGCGACTTTGAAAATTGGCATGTTTTGACTGATTTGGGGTGGATGGATAAAAATGAGTAAAGCGGCTTAAAAAAAGAATTTAAAACGATTATAGCTCCAGTTTTGTAGTAAGGGCAGATAGTAGTTTCGATGGTAAAAATGTAAAAGAAATATATTTTTGGGGCTGAGACACAGTGGTACGCTCTTACAGAAACTCCCTCTCAATAATCTTATTATCTGAGTCGAAACTATAGATAAATGACCGTCTGAGAATTCGTCTGACGAAAGCCCGCATTTATTTGGCCATCTACAATGGTCTAAAGAACCAAAGAATTCTACTTCTAATTCAGCCGCTATCAGCAACTAATCTAAACGGCTTGCCTCTTTTGCAAAGTTCCATTAAAATAGTGTAAACAGGTAGATCAAAACCACACCAATCAGAGCCACCATCACCGCTACACAACACACTTTCGCAACTCTAAATTCTTGTGCTATTTTCCTTCCCAACTCGGTTTCTGTTAGGTACGTACGGAAAATTTCTCCCTTGATATTCAAGTGTGGAAATGGCTGGTCTGGGATTTTCTTGCCAGTGAACTCACACAATGGTTCCCATCCTTGTTTGACACTGTAGACAAGCAGCTTGTCTGCAGGAACTACAGACTTGACTCGATCGTTGTGCCAGCGATATCGCTTGCGACAGATGTAGGACGACTTTGGATCAGAAATTCCCAGGCTTGCCATTCTCAAGTTGAGAATCACGAACCAAAACTTTTTGAAAGTCGGAATTAAGTTTTGCATCTTTATAATAAGCTTATTCGTGCTGGCAAAAAGCTCCATGTTGTTGACATAACGTCTGATCCAAATATCTTCTTCTCGTTCGGATAGAATAACCTTAGCATCAGGAAATGCTTCCATGATCTCTTCGAAGAAGAAATTGCCCGGGTAGTCAATCACAACGTCTACATCTTTGAACATGGCATAGAAATCGGGCACCTTACCATGTTTGTACAAATCTAACCACTCGTTCATATAGTACAGGATTTGTTCATCGTAATCGTAGACTTTGTAGCCTAGAATTCGCAGTGCATGAGCGATGGATGTGGTTCCTGTCTGGGGTAGACCGGCACAGATCACTTTCATCTTATTAATTGTAACCCAGTCGAAGGTTTTGTAGCTAGTTGTGACGTTTTTTAGCGATTACGCAGGCAGCCCAAGCTCTTTTCTAGAACTGACGCATGGGTTGCTTGTTCTCTTTTTACTCCCCACTGACAAGAGCGTTACCTGTGTCTATATGACCTTCTCTGATTGATTTGTCACCTAAAACATGCACGTTTTCACTCAGGAATTATTTACTCACGCTTTGAAATAAGCGAGATTTCTTGACCTTTTAATGTCGTCTGCCTTTTTCACATGATACGATATTATTTACTCAGAAACTATTTACTTACACTGTGAAAGAAGCGGATATTCTATAAAAATTCGTCTAAATATGTTATTACGTACGTGACGGCCGGAAGTGAATTTCATCTTTCCACGGAACGAGTTATTGACTTGCCCATTGCGTTCAATTTAACTTCTGATCCAAACATTTTCTTCTCGTATAGTTATAAATATATATATTTAGGCACTGCCTAAAAGCAGAGCTCTCGAATTTGAATGAAACTGAGAGGTAAAAATAAGACCGGGGAAAAAATCTTTAATTATTTCTTATTCGAGATGAAGATAATTTCTGCCATAATAAAAACCATGCAGTGAAATAGAATCGAAGTGCCCTACATTGTTTTTCGTCTTTTTTTTGCGTGAGTATACTCTCCCACTTAGGAATTTTATACACAACTCACCCCCACCCCCAGGGGCTAGTTTTGTTCTTAGAAGATTCTTCGACAAAGTTTTCCAAGGCCGACAGTTTAAGGCTTTGAATCTCTTTTACTYTTACTCTTAGAGCGATTTTTTCTGTGCATTTGAGAGCCGCATTTGTGAGTAGTTTTGCTTTGACATCAAGCGGGATCCCTGTGTTGTGTACACGGACGGACGTACGGACGTACGGGCGGAAGTGACGTCAGCCAAGCCATGAAAAATCAACTCGATGGTTTAACATTTTTTCTTAAGTATGGTGCTCCGCTATAACCTTAGCGTCAGCGGGAAATGTTTTCATCAGTTCTTCGAAGAAGAGATTGCAAGGCGCATCGATCAAAGCGTCTTCATCTTTAAGCATGGTATAGAAATCGGGTACTTTACCACAAATGTAATCACTCTTTCGAATGGTACAAGATTTTTTCATCAAATTCGTAGGCTTCAATCCAATTGATCAAGACAAATAAGGCACTACTTGTGGATGATAGTGGAAAACATAAGATAACCGGCAATCAAGTCTTTGTCTATTCTGATTCCAGCTGTACGATGTTACTCGTTTTGGTCTTGAGTAACGGCTTGACAGCTGATCATCGTAGTTCCTGTATGCTATATGTGGAGAGGAAAGACTGGAACACTTACGGACCGATGACTTGATGATTGTTGGTGGCAGGCATGGTTGGTGCGCAGTGTTTAGAAGACTTTGTTCAAGGGTGTTCAGGTAGGCTAACCTGACCTGTATGTGTTGTGCTTTGTCTATCTGGAGTTTGAGCGTCATTCTCGCGCCCCATGTAAGGGAATCTGGACTTATGGTGGATTCCGGATTCCATATCGTTAATTTTCATATGGCAGATATGACAGATACTCTTGGTGGAGATATTACACAGTGGAGGAGGGGCTACATCGGTTCATTCTAGGTCGAGGCGATAGCATTTGAGTGTGTACTTTGAATTTCAAAGTAGCGGATTCCTGATTCCAAAAGGGTGGATTCCGGATTCCATTATAAACTGGATTCCGGATTCCATTATAAACTGGATTCCGGATTCCATTATAAACTGGATTCCGGATTCCATTATAAACTGGATTCCGGATTCCAAGGCCTGGATTCCGGATTCCAGAGTGCTAGATTTCGGATTCCAAAGCCTAAAATTTCGTGGATTCCAAATTCCGGATTCCGGATTAAAACCCCATCTTGACTTGTTGGTAGGTTGCTCGTTTGTTAGCGGCAAGGCTTTGACGTTGTTTGGTTCCAAGGTACTGTTGAAGTCGGAAGACTTTCTGAAGGCGATGCTGTTGATCGGGCAAATGGGCTGCTGTGATATTGGAAGTACACGACACTTGAGAGAAATCGTCTTGATGCCAGTACGAGGACCCATCTGTAAAAAGCAAGAAAGTGTTGGATGAGCTATGAATATTCCAATCAATCGTAAAGCCCTTTTCCCAGCAATTGTAAGTGATGATGAGTAGCGGTTTGGTGATGTTTCCGTTGACCTGGGATCTCCTTTAGTCCAGCAAAGACCTGACGATGCCTTGCATTGTCTTTCAGTGTTGAGTTGCTGCGATGATGAGCAGTCAGTGGTATCAGTAATGGAGGCATGCGTACTTCGTAGAAGATCTTCAACCATTTTCTTCTTTTTGAAAGGTTTGGTTTTGGACGAGACATCAACTTCAATAGCTTGATACATTTATACGATTTGACTTGGCTACTCTGCGCTGTACCGGCACAGTGTAATGTTGACAGGTCTGCAGAGGAACTGAATGAGTTGGGTTCAGATTCCATAGTATTTATGCCAGCAACCTACAGATTAAAGAGAAAGCCACTGCAGCGCATGTCGGAATGACAGAAGGTTGGTGGTCTGTTGCGCTGAGGGCGCAGGTATTTGAAGAGCGGTGATTTGAGTGGATTATTTGATAGAAAAGAAAGCGATTAATACCGCGCTCATGGTGATTATTTTTGAAAAGAATTGAGTGCGGGAAGCAAAGGCAAAGAATACTGGTCGGTAATTGGTTTAAAGTTTACCTTTATTGCGCTTGTGTCCTTTGAAGATCCCGCTAATCAAAGGCTACGCGATGCATCTTTGTTAATTAATGCGTGTAAGGTACTTCAAAGACCTCACTTGAGAAAACTAAATGAAATACGGTATAGCCAACGCGAAATTATTCTTTGATGCGCATGCTCCTGACAAAGGCAAAGCGAAAAACGCGAAATGAAACTAGTATTTTAGGCCAACGGCAAACGTCGGACTAAGGAAGCGCCGAACCTATTAAACATAGATTCGACTAAGCCTTATGTAAAAATTCAAAATTTACATGAGCCAAACCTAATTCTGAGAAATATGTGCATATGTGAAGTTCGACATTTTACCCAATTAAGATCGACTGATTGAATTTGTGCTATACCGACTAAGTCGATCTTCACGACTAGGTCAGTCGGGAAGAACGATTATAGATCGACTTTGGGTCAAAGGTCGAACCTCACATGAGCCGTTCTAAATGCATTAATAATGTTCATGTATGTTTTACCCTCATTTTTATTATTATCGGTCAGCTGGCTTGCAACAATTTTCTGTATTCTTTTAGTTTAGTATACGTAATTTTGCAAATTTGGTACTAAATAAAGATTGATTGATTGCTTGATTGTATGCCCTTTGTCAATGGAAATACTGTGTAAAACCAGACATGCTAGTGTTATCATTTTTGTTTGCAGCAAAGGCGCTGCTTAATTCGAGGTCGAGCTTAATTCCTGCAAACGTCGTACTAACCATGAACCTATTTCAAAATTAATAGGTTAACAATCACAATCACAATCACAATCACAATCACAATCACAATCACAATCACAATCACAA